TCGGACACGTACATAAAAGATTGTTACCTAGTTACAATGTGGACTGTACATGTATAATCACACATGAAGATAATAGATTGCTACCTGTTTATAATGTAGACTGTAAGTAATCAGACATGTTCATATAAGATTGCTACTTGGTTACAATGTGGACTGTGAGTAATCAAACATGTACATAAAAGATTGCTACCTGGTTATAATGTGGACTGTATGTAGTCAGACATGTACATAAAAGATTGCTACCTGGTTACAATGTGGACTGTACATGTATAGTCAGACATGAAGATAATAGATTGCTATCTGTTTATAATGTAGACTGTAAGTAGTCAGACATGTTTATATAAGGTTGCTACTTGATTACAATGTGGATTGTGAGTAATCAAACATGTACATATAAGATTGCTACCTGGTTACAATGTGGACTGTATGTAGTCAGACATGTACATAAAAGATTGTTACCTGGTTACAATGTGGACTGTACATGTATAGTCAGTCATGAAGATAATAGATTGCTACCTGTTTATAATGTAGACTGTAAGAAATCAAACATGTACATATAAGATTGCTACCTGTTTACAATGTACATTGCATGAAGTCGGACACGTACATAAAAGATTGTTACCTAGTTACAATGTGGACTGTACATGTATAGTCAGACATGAAGATAATAGATTGCTACCTGTTTATAATGTAGATAGTAAGTAATCAAACATGTACATATAAGATTTCTACCTGGTTACAATGTACACTGCATGTAGTCAGACATGTACATAAAAGATTGTTACCTGGTTACAATGTGGACTGTACATGTATAATCACACATGAAGATAATAGATTGCTACCTGTTTATAATGTAGACTGTAAGTAATCAAACATGCACCTAAAAGATTGCTACTTGCTAATAAAGTAGACTGTAATCAAACATGCATCAAAAAGCTTGCTACCAGCTCCACAACAAAATGAACATCTGCAAATAAACATCAACTACCTCGCACAAGAATCTGAACATTTTTCTAAAAACACTAACTAAAAATTTTTGATTGGCACACATAAAATTGGTCATCAAAGTAATTTGTAAAGAATCACAAACTTTGTATGATAGTATAATGAGACTTTGACCGTTAAGAGATCACGGATCTTCAAGAATGAGGAGGATCGCTCGCGGTGACGATCGCGAGCGCAATTATGAGGCGACGCGGATTCACGGACGTTCGTAGATTTTCCCGCGTGCCTGCGGCTACTGAAAACTTTCCAAGTCACCCGCTACCTGACGCCAACTAACGGAATTGAAAGATGATCGGCCCTCGATCTACCTTACAGTCACCTTCCTTCTCTACCGAGACCTCGGATCTTTTGCCTCGCTTCGCTCCGCAACGACGTAATTTCCGAGGGAAGAAGAAATTACCGGTCGAGGATCGAGCGCGGTTTTAGCGCCGATCCCAGAGAGATTTTTAGAACATAAGCGTGGAAAATGGTAACGGTCTATTACGTTAACCGTTACTTTCAAAAATAATGGCGAGTTTTTTATTCAGGATGAGACTTATAGATCAAGTACACTTAACCATTTGGGAATTAACCATTAACTGTTTGAGCTATATTTACTGATCAGAGTAGATATCAGACGAGATACTAATTCAACAGATAGTGAAATGAAATAGACTAGCAGTGAAATTTAGAATTTTTGGAATTTTTAATGGTATTCAAGGTGCAGTGAATGCAGTAGCAAGATTCGGTACAAGAATGCATTGTCTGGATGCAGCTATACCTTTAATGTACTCTTATCATTTTGCCATAACTGCATACTTGGTCAGTGATCTGTACAGTGATTTATACTTGATTAACCTGAAAATACTATACACATATGTGGCTCCCTGTCTTTATCGCCACTTGACCGACATTAAACATAAGTGCCTAACTGCAACATACGGTAATAGTTCCGATAATAATTTGACATGATGATAATATTTAATAAGAGTCAGCGTAAATTTTCAGAAGATCAGACCGTCACCTGTTCTCAAACATTTAACCTGAAATTTAGCGCTCCGCTACCCTCGAACACAAGTCGAACGTGCCCATATTCACGTTCCAGATCGTTGATCAACCAATTACTCGTTAATTCATCCAAAAGCCCGGAACAGTATAATTAGCTGAATCCGCGATAGCAGGCTCGAATTACGTTCTAATACGTTGATTACCGTAGCAGAATCTCAGGTACGAAAGTAAGACGCTACACACCGCTATCAGGCATACGATCATTTCGTTTTCCGATTTAATAGCAAAGGTATCACTTTACATTACCGATATAATAGCAATGCTAAATAACAGCTGGATGTAGAAGTCAAAACATGGGCTCTGATAAACGATTAACGCGTTAGGATCCGCCTACGTATCGATGAAAAGGTCCGCGTGCGAGTTTGCGTGTGTTGCTCGCTCGACCCCGCCGCGATGATTAACGGCCATCCTGATCCGCGAGCTCGTCCCACGCCTAACACCTTCCGTTCTATTTAGCCAACCCGGCAACACCGGCAAACAATAATTAACCAGAGCGAACGGGACGATTTGTTCGTCTATCAAACAAGAAAACCGTATGAAATGCCTTTGACTTATCCGGATTTCATTGACTTTTATTACTGCACCCTGTGGGGTTTATTTTGCACTGTTAGTTCACTTAGGTAGTCAAGGTAATAGTTCAAGTCACATATCGTTCTGTCAATTGATATGAAATTTTAGAACATTATGTATATACATATTTTCTATATATATTAGCCATACATTATCTATGTACATATTCTCTATATACATTATCCATACATTATATCCAGACATACATGTTCTCTATATATATTATCCATACATTATCTATATACATATTCTCTATATACATAGTCCATACATTACCTATATACATTATCTATATACATGTTCTCTATATACATTATCCATACATTATCTATATACATGTTCTCTATATACATTATCCATACATTATCTATATACATATTCTTCATATACATTATCCATACATTATCTATATACATATTCTCTATATAAATTATCCATACATTATCTGTATACATATTCTCTATATACATTGTCCATACATTATCTATATGCATATTCCCTATATATATTATACATACATTATCACTATCTATACACATCTATATACACTATATGTATGTTTGATATAATGTAACATTTGTAGTCCAATTAAACGAGCTCGTTCTGAGCCCTCAATATCTGCAGCCATCAATGAATATTATAAGAACTCAAACATTGACAGCTACTATGTAGCATAGCTTAATCCTTTGCATTATTTGGACAAGTCTAACATACTCGTTCTTCCTGATCAATTTTACTGGAATTTTGAATACATCCTAATTCAGAGTTCAAGTCTAATTATATTCACATAGTCAATTGTTTGTTAGTGAACCTAAAAAAATTGACATAACATTGCAACATTTTTTGTCTGCTTTAATCTTGTTGTCTGTTTTAATAGCTTAATCCTTTGCATTATTTGGACAAGTCTGAAATACTCGTTTTTTCTGATCAATTTTACTAGCATTTTGAATACGTCCTAATTCAGAGTTCAAGTCTAATTATTCACATAGTCAATTGTTTGTTAGTGAACCTAAAAAAATTGACATAACATTGCAACATTTTTTGTCTGCTTTAATCTTGTTGTCTGTTTTAATAGCTTAATCCTTTGCATTATTTGGACAAGTCTAACATACTCGTTCTTCCTGATCAATTTTACTGGAATTTTGAATACATCCTAATTCAGAGTTCAAGCCTAATTATTCACATAGTCAATTGTTTGTTAGTGAACCTAAAAAAATTGACATAACACTGCAACATTTTTTGTCTGCTTTAATCTTGTTGTCTGTTTAAATCTGTGTTTAGTTCTGACGCACCTGACAAGTCATACAAGGAGAAACCTAACCTCAAACGATTAACTTGCCGAAATAAAACGACATGCCGTAGAAAATCATGTAACCAAGTCTCGTGACGATCTATCGCGTGAGACGGACGAACCGCAAAGGGTTAAAGCCGACGAGATCGATGTCAAAGAAACAGGACCCGTTACAACGTAGAAAGGAAGTCGATGAAGTGCGACCGATGGGGGGACGTTGAAAGAACAAGAAGGAGTAGGAGGAAGTCGAGAAAGGGGGAAGAACGAATTCATCGGTTCGTTCTATGAGAACAGAACTGACACGGATCGCAACGCGTTAAGTCTACTCGCTTGATGCCGCAGGATCTGCGGCATCTCGAGATGACTCATCTCCGCTCTTTTCTTCTGTACGCGGAAAGATCCCACGGGAACTGATGGCGAACTTTTCGGCTTTAAAACGTCTGCTTTGTATGCGAGACACGCGCTGACGCATCGAGGATTCCCTCGATCCAGGACCAAGATTAGGACAAGTCACGCGTGGCAGTGATACGATTATGGTTTCCCGCGATTCTATCCGACCGTCCTTCGTTATTATCGCGAATACGCGGTCTGGTACCGCGGACGTGCACCGAGTTTCTTCTTGGTATCACGTAGACACTTTGGGAAAAACTGCAGCTTGGAACCTTGAATAAATTCTGCGGTTTTTTCTTGATGTCCGAGGAAAATTATTTTATGCTTTCAGACGTCTTTGTATGCAGATCGCACCTCCAGATTTCTGTACTGTCATGTTTGTTAGAGTAAAAAGTGTCTGAATGATCGTTGCATTTGTCAAGTTTATTGTTGAGATGAGTTCATTGATGTTCTTCTTGCAATTTTATTCACCGTGATTCACGGTGATATTTTCTAGCTGGTTTTTTAATTTTTTAGGTCATTATACCGAGATTGTACTAATAGGCAAATAGTACACTTGTGAAGTTTCTGCATTGCTAAATTTCTACATTTTTAGATTTGTCAATTTGTGAACTTCTATATTGAAAATTTTGATTAATGCTTCCATAAAATATAAAATTTAGAGCTATTTAATTTATCTCGAGTAACAGTACGAATATCACTTTTCTGTTCCAGATACGCAATCGTGTGGTTGCTGACGATGACTCTCCGATGTCAGGTAAGCGCAATTCCAAGTACCAGCTGAGTATTCGTCGATTGAGGGTCACTCAGAGTTCAAATTTTCAAGGCAACGAATCACGAAAACACGGATGGCGACGGAAACGCGGAGGACTCGGTGCTGGATGAAGCTACCGAGGATTACTGGGCCGGAAGTGGATCCGGACCGGAAGAAGACGAGTCCCTTCATAACGAGACCAGAGAAGCGTTAACGCACGAGGCTAGTGATCACGATGCTGTGAGTAATTGCGAAATTTCAGTTCTGTAAATTAAAATAAATTGCAACGGCTAATAGTTCCAAGTGGAACCAGTCAGCAACTGGTTTTCTATAGAACAGGATCTAGTATACAGGGTGTTTCAAATTTTACATCAAAATTATTTTTGTGGTTATCAAAAGAAGAAAAATTAATGAAAGCCTTGATGGTTTCAGGGTGTTTCAAATTTTACATCAAAATTATTTTTGTGACTATTAAAAGAAGAAAAATGAATGAAAGCCTTGATGGTTTCAGGGTGTTTGAAATTGTACATCAAAATTATTTTTGTGGTTATTAAAAGAAGAAAAATTAATGAAAGCCTTGATGGTTTAAGGGTGTTTGAAATTGTATATCAAAATTAATTTTGAGGCTATTAAAAGAAGAAAAATGAATGAAAGCCTTGATGGTTTCAGGGTGTTTGAAATTGTACATCAAAATTATTTTTGTGGTTATTAAAAGAAGAAAAATTAATGAAAGCCTTGATGGTTTAAGGGTGTTTCAAATTGTACATCAGAATTATTTTTGTGGCTATTAAAAGAAGAAAAATTAATGAAAGCCTTGATGGTTTAAGGGTGTTTGAAATTGTATATCAAAATTAATTTTGAGGCTATTAAAAGAAGAAAAATGAATGAAAGCCTTGATGGTTTCAGGGTATTTGAAATTGTACATCAAAATTAATTTTGTGGCTATTAAAAGAAGAAAAATGAATGAAAGCTTTGATGGTTTCAGGGTGTTTCAAATTGTACATCAAAATTATTTTTGTGGCTATTAAAAGGAGAAAAATGAATGAAAGCCTTGATTGTTTCAGGGTGTTTCAAATTGTACATCAAAATTATTTTTGTAATTAGTAGAAGAATGAAAATAAATGAAAGTCTTAATTTGAAACCTTAGTTTCAGTACATTTGGTGGCCAAAAATAAAATTCAGTAACTAAAGCTTCTGTCATTTCTTCTTCCATTTTTAGTGTAAAAATGTGTGACATAAAGTATATAAGTACAAATTAATTTGCAAGTATATTGCTTTAATTGGACATCTAATTGAACTCCAATTAGTCAATAACTTTATATGCAGAGTGTCTCCGATGCATAATTCATTGCACATTATCTCCAACTGTTTATAATTCGCCATCACCGTTGGAGGCACTGTGAAATTCGCGTTAATAAGGTACAAAGATGCAGTAGAACGGGAGGAACTTTTTTCTGCGAGCATTTGATTTTCTGCATCTTCAATTCTCACGCTATAGAAAGATGGAAGAAGATGAGGAGCTAATGGCTAATCCATTCTGTGCACGCAGTAATAAACCTTCGACATGTAATGCAAGGAATAATGACTCTCAATTGTTGATTACCTCATTTTGGAGCAATTGATGTATTAATAATTCGGAATGAGCAAAAATTCGTTTTTAATTTCTCCTTGCTTTCACATAGCAAGAATTAATTGAAAAGTAAAAACATACTGGGAGTAATTATACGTAATTATAGATAATTACAAATAATTAAAAATAATTAAAAATAATTGTAAATAATTACAAATAATTGTAAATAATTATAAATAATTAAAAATAATTACAAATAATTACAAATAATTACAAATAACTGTAAATAATTACAATTCAATTATAATTCAAGGTTTTGATTATAAGCAGTGATTGAGCGAATTACTAAGGTCGTAAATTTACCCTAATGTCCATAGACAATTTACAGATTAACATCGACTGCGTTCAATCTAACCTATAATTCTCTCCGCTGCGTCATGACTAACTAATTATTACTACACTGTTAAGATAAATGAATAAGCTTGAAATGTCAAGAATATCAGCAACACTTGATACTATAAATTGTAGTCAGTATTGAACTCAAAATTAAATCCTATACAAATACGATTCATGTCACATCTGAACCTTAATGTGCGTCATAAATGCGTCCATATCAAAAGCTAAGCCACGTTAAAAGCCAAAGAGAACCGCAGCTACTTATAAATTACGACTCGCACGTAATTACAGTAATTACATAATTCAGAATAATCAAAAAGTTACGTAATTGAAAATAAAGTGAACAGGTGTAGGTCAGGGATGAGAGGAACGGAGATCATGGTACATTCACCTAGGCCATCTGACCGATCATAGCTAGTCTAATGACTTTCGACACCCTAACCACGCGACCGTTAATCATCGCATGAGTGCTCGTATCACGACGAGACTCGAGACGAGAATTTCCAGCTTGAAAGGAACGCGCCGTCCGCGGACGTCGAGTCGCGTTTACGATGACACGCATCGCGTTTAGAAACATCTAACGACCACCGTTGATTACCAACATTACAACTAAAATTGGAGGAAACGAAGACGAATCGAGACCGATTACATATCGCGTTTTGTACGAGGAAATGAGACGTTTCGAGTTTGAGGCAGCTTGAGAGTCGCGACGATTGCAAACTCTTGAAGTATCACGTATTGAAATATTTTCATAATTTACGTGGAGCAATAGTTTTTGCTTGCTGGCATACTTTGACTGGGAAATCCTGCTGTTAAAATGTCAAAGCGAGAGACTCTAAATTTTCGATAAGTAGCATCTCGGTTAAAAGTACTAATACAGTCATCAGAATGCTATAAAGCAGGATATTCCTGTCACGAGAGAAGTCATAAACAACATGATTGATACAGAATTATAGTCATAGAGCATTTCAGTCTGCTCCAGATCTCGAAGATATTCGGAGAAGAGCCTATAAATTTAATCTTTCATTATGATTACAGTATCTTTCAGTATACTGTAACATTTCGAGTTTCGTATTGAACATCTTAATATCGAATCAAATATCTTCATGAATGGTATAATAAAGTTAACATATGTAGTTGGGTATCAGATAAACCAAAAACCTTCGGAGCAATTTATTCTTCCATCTCTCAAATCTCTTTTGAGAGAGGTACTTTATTTCGAAATCGTTTCTACAAACGATATCCTGAAGATCTCTAGGAGTACCTTCCGTTTTCTCGTAAAACGAAAAGATAGGGTAGGTACAGTCGAGAACAAATCTGACTTCGGCAGGAAAACTGTGAGTACTGCGAATGTGAACATTTTGAGGTGAGCTGAGAATGTGGAATTTGGGGTCCTTGGGTTTTGTGGATAGAGATATTGAGCGATATTGGGATTTGGGGATATTGGAATTTGGGAACCTTGCAATTTGGGAACTTTGGAATTTGGGGAGCTTTAAATTTGGAGAGCTTGAAATACGGGGATATTGGGATTTGGGACCTTGCAATTTGGGAAGTTTGGAATTTAGGGACCTTGGAATTTGAGAATATTAGGATTTGCGAGCTTGGAATTTGGGGACCTTGGAATTTGGGAAGCTTGGAATTTGGGGACCTTGGAATTTGAGGATATTGGGATTTGCGAGCTTGGAATTTGGGGAGCTTGGAATTTGCAGAGCTTGGAATTTGGGGACCTTAGAATTTCAGGATATTGGGATTTGTAAGCTTGGAATTTGGGGTGCTTTGAATTTGGGGAGCTTGGAATTTGGGGAGCTT